ACAGAAACAAATACATAGACACAGAGAACAAACTGATGTTTGCCAGATGAGAGAGGGATTGGAGGATTGGTAAAAACAGTCAAGGGATTAAGAAGTACAAATTTCCAGTTGTAAAAATAGTCCTGAGGTTGTAAATTACAGCCTAGGGAATATAGTCAATAATATTATAATAATTATGTATGGCGTCTGATGTGTACTAGATTTATCTGGGGGGATCCTTGTGTAAGTTATATAAATGTCTAATCACTATGCTACATACCTGAAACTAATATAATATTGCATGTCAACTGTGATTGAAAAATAAATTAATTTAAAAAATAAAAATAATTTTAAAAAAATAGAAAAACATTCTCTGGTGATCAAGAAGTGATATTTTAAGCATGTTATCTTCTAACATAGTGATTTAATATTTACCTATACCTGAGCATTTTACTGTATTTTAGTCACAGAAAATACTTTATGACCTTTTGATGGGCAAAGATTTCTTTAACAGCACATAGAAGGAAAACTAATCTTAAAAGAAAGGATAAATGACTTGGACTGTGTTAAAATTAAGAACTATATTCATCAAAAGATATCATTAGGAGAGTGAAATAGCACAGAATGTGTATAATACACACACCCCACATCTTTGGTTGTACATCCAACCCAGTCCAAAAGTATGCTAGTGACTTGAACAGACACTTCAGAAATGAGGATGTCCACATGGCCAGTAAGGTGAAAAGGTGTTGAACCTCATTAATCATCAGGGAAGTACAGATTATCAACAAAATGTGATACTTCACCAAATCCACTAGAGTAGTGGAAAGATGGACAAGTCAGTGTGTGGAGTACATACTGCTGGTGAGAATGATTATATATATAGATGTAACCATTTTGGAAAACTGTTGGGCATTATCTACTAAAGGTGATATCTTATCCAACAACAGAAATACGCACATATGTGCATCAGACAACATACAAGAATATACATGGCAGCAATATTTTTACATATCCAAACTGAAAACATCAAATGTCTACCAACAATAAATGCATAAATAAACTGTGGTATGTTTATAATTATAGAATAAAAATAAGTGAATTTCTGTTTCACAACTATATGGATGAGTATAAAAACATAATATTGTACAGAAGTCAGGCCTAAGGACACATATGTATGATTTCACGTCTAAAAGTTCAAAAACAAGCATAACTAATCTGTGGTGATTACCTTTGCTAAGGTAATCTTGGTAGAAAGTGAAGACTAAGGATACTTCAGAGGTGCTGATAATTATATTTCGTGATCTGGTTAGAGGTTAAATGGTTGCATTCATTGTGAGAAAATCAGAGCTATACACTTATAACAAATGGGCCTTACTATATATCGCTTACTTCAATGAAACTATTTAAATAGAAATTTCTGCCAAACTTACAGAGAAAAATTAAAGAAATTCTTCTATTCTATTGCTACTTATTTTAAAATTTGACTTCATAATAGTGTTTAGAAGTGCTGAATATTCTCATCTACTTATTTAACATCTAGACAGATTTAAAAACTTAGAAATATTATTGAAGGGTATGATGATATATCTCAAAGTTTAACTTATGGGCCAGGATTATATTTTGAAACAGAATTACAGCTAATAAGTTTTGGAAAAAAAGATATATCAGTTTTTAAATTTACTTCTCACTGTTTTCTAAAGTAAAAATTTCTAAAAGTTGGAATATTACCAAATGAGGTCCTACATTTTTCAAACCTTTCCAAATTTTTTGCTGCTTTTTTAAATCAGATAAGCAGAAAGAAAAAAACTGGAGTGATTAGTGTTTGTAAGGCTGAATATTTTTCTTTAAAAAGTAAATAAAATGGAGCATTGGATCCTGATATTTTCCTGGTATTATCTGCTTTTTGTTATTTATTACAGCATGAATCTAGAGAAACATTATTGGGATTTAATATGGTGAACTACAGAGCATGCAAAAATTTGTGGAAAGCATGTGTAGAACATCACACATTCTTCCGTTTGGACAGACCGCTTCCACCTCAAAAGAATTTTTTTGCACATTATTTTACATTAGGTTCAAAATTTCGTTACTGGTAAGTATTGCTTATACATTAATACTGTATTGCTGGATATTTCCTCCCTTTAAAATAAAGGTCTAATTTACTGAACAATACAGTTTTTGTTATGCATATATACTGAGTCAAAATCTCTGTGGAGTGTGGCCCCTTTGTCTATGTCAGCAAAAAGTTCTATAGGTTCTTGTGATATAACCATACTTGAAAAAACTGCTCTATTGACTTTATTCCAGATCCTTATTTTCTAAAGTAAATCAATCATATGTAATTACTTACATTCTAGAAATGCTATAATTTTCACTGTGTTTGTGTTAAATATTTACAAGAAAATTTCTTTGTTCTAAGGCCCCTTTATTTTATTTGTAAAAACCAAGATATTTTCTGTATGAGTGTAAGTTACTTTGCTTTTTTATATATGAGTTGCCAAACCCTTTATTGTAAAGAGTTCAAAACAGCTGTTATACAAAAATCACATTTAATCATTGAACAATAACCCCAGGTTCCTTTTCCTAAAATTGTCTTATTATTTATTTTTGATAGCTTTTATTTTTTTCCCAAGGGCAACAGTCTTTGAGGAATAACTCTTAACCAGAAAAAATAACAGTGTAAAGCTTAGTACAGAATATTCCATGCCTTTCCCCTCAAAAAAGAAGTAGTAAAAGTAGCTCAGAATTTCAATAGCAACTCAAAACAGAATTAGGAACATTTTAACCATAAAGAAGGCACAGCAGGTTCTTAAGTGGCTTAATACCATGTTTAACTTCTTCATCACCTTCCTAAAAGCCATATTGGGAAAAGTAAGGTGGTGGTGATACTTGCACACTTAAAGGTAAATAGAGTAAGTATTAATTAGCTCAATGGTGAAAGTCAAGGAAAAATTAAAAAGCATTCTATTGGCACTACATCTCAGTAGAGACGAAAGAAATCTCCAATGAGAGAAAAGTACAGACCATAACGGTAGTCCCTTAATAAATTTAATTACTAACTAAACGACCCCCAGAGTTATTACACGAGGACCGTACTTATCTCTTGCAGAACTTTTTCTTCCTTCTGTCCTTGAAAATACTACATACACATAAATATGCATATATATACCATTTCACTTAGGCAACAAAGAAATGAATAGAATGTAGCAACCAGCCTTCAACTATAATTCAAACAGGTCTCAGGTAAGATGAGAAAAAACGGGAATTTGCCCAAACTATACCACAGCAAACAGAAAATCTAGTCAGAGTAACTACAAATTCAAAAGATAGTTAAAGAAACCAGTTTGGGAGAAAATCATCACTGGAACAGAATGAAATATCTACCGTAGATATTAAGAACAAGCTATAATAAAAGTATTGGTGGGGAGGAGAGCAAAAACTGCCGTGCAGACTATTATTGCCCTTGGGGGAATATGGGCCTAGTACTGACAGATTCTACATTTTTAAACAGCTTTATTAAGGTATAATTGACATATAATAAGCTACGATATTTAAAGTTTAAAAATTGACGTTTGGAGATATATATACCTCCATGACTATCACTACATGGAGATATATATACCTCCATAACTCTATCACTACATCAAGATAGCAAGCATACACACCCCTAAATGTTCCCCCATGCTTCCCTGGAACCCCTTTCTCCTACCCTTCTTTGTTCCCTTGCTACCACTGGTCTGTTTTATATATATACAAAATATTTTATATATACATATATATATATATACACACACATTCTATATATATATATAAATGGTTTTTCTAGGATTTTATGTAAATCGAAACATGTATATTGCATATTCTTTTTAGTCTGGCCTCTTTTACTAAGCATAATTATTCTGAAATTTATCCTTGTCGTTGCCTATATTGATGGTTCATTTCTTTTTATTGTGCAGTCGTATTTCGTTATATGGATGTACCACAATTTGTTTATGCATTCACTTGATTATCGATATCAAGTGAGTTGTGTCCCCATTTGGGTTGTTTCCAATTTTGGGCTATTAAAAATAAAGCTACTGTGAACATTCATATGGAAGTATTTGTATGGATGTTTGTTTTAATTTCCTTTGATTAATTACCTTCCAGTAGAATGGCCAGATCATGTATGTGGTAAATACATGTTTAACTTTGTGAGAAACTGCCAACTGTTTTTTTTTTCAAAGCAGTTTGTACCATTTTATGTACCCACTAACAGTGTATGAGAGTTACAGTTTTATCACATTCTCATCAATACCTGTTGTTATCTTTTCATTTTACTAGTGGCTTCTGAAGAGCATATGATTTTCATGAAGTTTGTTCTATTATGGATCTTTCTTTTGGTGTCATATCTAAGAAATCTTTGCCTAACCCAAGGTCACAAAGATTTATTCCTCTATTTTCTTTTATAATTTTAGCTATTATGTTTAGGTCTATGATTCATTTGGAAATAATTTTTGTATACAGTGTGAAGTATGAATTGAAGTTCGTTTTTTTACATGTGAATATCCAGTTGTTCAGCAACATGTATTGAAAAGATTAGTCTTTTTCCACCGAATTGCCTTTGCACCATTGTTGAAAATTAGTTGTTAATATTGTGTGGACTTATTTCTGGACTTACATGTAATTCTTAAATTCTAGTTACATTAGTCTTCCATCTTTGTTCTTTTTTAAAGTTGTTGTCGGTGTTCTAGATCCTTTGCATTTCCATCTGAATTTTCGAATTAGCTGATCAATATCTGTAAAAAAGACTTCTGGGATTTTAATTGGGATTATTATAGATCAGTTTCAGGAGAATTAATATTTTAAAAATACTGAATTTTTCACTCATGAAATATGGCATATCTTTTTATTTAAGTCTTTAAGTCATCTTAGTTTTCAGCAATGTTTGTAGTTTTCATTGTATGTCTTTCACATCTTTGCCAAATTTATCTTTAATTATTTCATATTTTTGATGCTATTATAAGTGGTCTTTTTAAATTTTAATTTCAAATTGCTCATCACAGTTTGTTAGATAGAAATGCAATTGATTTTTTATGTTGACATCGTTTCCTGACACTCTGTTTACCTCACTTATTCTAAGAGCTTTTCTATAGCTTCTAACAGATTTTCTACCTAGAAAAAAATGACAGCTTTAATTCTTCCTTTCTATTCTGATCTTTTTGTTTATTTTTCTTTCCTTATTGCCCAATCTAGAACTTCTGTTGCACTGTTGAATAGAAGTGGTCAGAACAAATACCCCTTGTCTTGTTCCTTAGGGGAATGCATTTAGTCTTTGCTGCTAAGTATGTTAGTTGTTTGCTTTTCATAGATGCCTTATATCATCATGCATGTTGAGGAAGTTTCCTCTACTTCTAATTAGCTAGAAGTTTTTGTCAAATGCCTTTTCTGCAGCTATTGAGTCAATCACATGGTTTTTCTTTTTAGATGATTTATGTGATGAATTACATTGATTGAGTTGCAAGCATTAAACCAACCCTATGTTCCGGGGATAAACCCCATTTGGTCATGATCTGTTACCCTTTTCATATATTATTTGATTTGATTTGCTAAAATTTCGTTTAGAATTTTTATATCCGCATTTACAAAGGATGTTGCTCTGTAGTTTTCTTGTAATGTCATTGTCAGGTTGGTGTTAGAGTAATTTTACCTCATTGAGTTTGGAAGTATTCCTTCATTTTCAGTTTTCTGAAAGAGTTTTTGTAGTAATGATATTATTTCCTTTTGAAATGTTTGACAGAATTTACCAATTCATTTATCTAGGCCAGAAGTTTTATTTATATGAAGCGTTTGAATAACACATTCAAATTCTTTATTAGATATGAAGCAGTTCAGATTTTCTTTCTTCCTGAGCAAGCTTGGTAGTTTATGTTTTTCAAGGAATTTATCATTTCATCAAAGTTGTTCAATTTTTTGGCATAAAGTTTATAATATTCTCGTTATCTCTTTAATATCTCTAGCATCTGTAGGAATGTCATTTATGTCATTCTTGATTTTGATAAACTTGTGTCTTCTCTCTTTTTCATTTGTTCAATCTTATTAGAGGTTTATCAGTTTGGATTAAATATTTTTAAACACTGAATGCCAAATAAAACTTTTCTTCAGGCTTATACATGGCATGTAGACCACTCTTTGTCTACCAAGTCTTAAAGAACAAAAAAGTGACCAAAAAATATACTTAGCCAGGTTGCCATTGAAATCTAAAGTTAGTAGATAGACATTAATAAATATACAAAATCTTAGAAAATATAACATCTCTGAACCATCTCGAAAAAAAATTTAATATAAAATTAAGCTGTCCAGGAGAGAAATCAAAATGACTCAAGAAGAATCCTAGTAAAAGAACTAAGAATTTAAATTAAGCCCTTTAAATACAGAACTAATCCTTGGCAACTCTGAGAATTATGACTATAGATAGAATTAAAATGTTATATAAACCTTGACAAAGTAATAATATAAGAAAACAAAGTAATAATATAAGAAAAGAAAACAATAGAGAGGTTAAGCAAGGGACTAGTGGAACTATAGAATCCATATTAACAAAAATTAAAACATTAATACACCAGCTGCTTAAGGTTTACCTAATCTTTTTTCCTTTTCCTTTTTTTTTTTTTTCTTTTTTGTTAATGGTGGTCTTTTTCTTTTTTTCAGCTCAAGGGAAATTAGTTTAATATTATCATTAAAAGTGGCATATATAGCATAGTAATAGAATTATGTACATATTTTGTAACCTTTTCTATGTGTATATATAGAATTTTAGAATGATTTTTATCTGCTCACGATTAGATTATTTTTTAGGGGTAGGTCTCTAGCTATATTTGGCGTTTGTTTAGTTTTTTACTTTTCGTTATGCTTTTTCTACATTTCTTGAATTATTTATAATAAGCCTGTGTTCTTTTACCAATTGTTATTTTTCTCATTGTTCTAAAGATAAGTATTTTACTGTCAGAATTTAGTGTTCTTAGATTATGATACAGTTTTGCATTTTGTTCAATAATATCGAACCTCTAAATAATAATATTATGGATAATGTGAAATATAAACCTTTAATTGCTCCCTCATGTTTCAATTTAATCTTTATATTTGTATTATGAAATTCAGCTTGTTGATCCAACCTTTTGAGTGCCAGTGTCCCGTTTAAATCCTCCTCACTGAAAAATGAATGTATCAGGGAAACAGGAAGCTCTTTTGATTTTTCAAATGAAAGCAATTTAATTGAAAGAATAGATAACATAGAAAGGCTGGAAAAACAAAAAGGAGGAGGAGTGTTTTGGAGGAGCAAACAGGAAGAATGGATAATGCTTAAGGATCAGACTTGTGTTACTTCTAGGCTGGAGTCCACAAGCATGGACTGGCTACTACAGAGTTAAAGCCACTGCCACAGTCAGTTCTGGATCTGCCAGGGAAGCACTGCTTTGATCAGGGATGGTACCATCTATAAGATGCTGTTTATCCCTGTGTTCTATCCACACTATTGTTACAGCAGCTACCAGCATCTGCCAGTCCCTTGTTTTTAACTTGGTCTTCTTTCTGATCTCCCGGCAGAAAAAAAGGAGAACCTAACTGAAAGCCAACTTGCAAAGGAACCTGGAAAATAGAGTTTGTTGACTCTTAGCCTCCCACATAATTTAGCAGAGCACGGAAGGACAGGATTGAGGCCTATGACGGCTCAGTTAACATTAAATGAGTATATATATTAACCATCTATTTTATAGTTGTAAAAGTTAAATGTTATATTTATAGTCCTTAATAACTTTAAAAACATAACCAAAGCACTTTTTAATCATCGAAATGATTAAAAATCTTATAAATGAGGTAGGAATGGCAGCATGACAAATGTTTATCTGGACACAACCCTAGTCCTGAAGGATATGCATTAAATAAATGGGATTTTCTTCTCCCATCATAATAAGCAATAGTTGGAAATACTAGAACTATCATAATACTTAAAATTTTGAAATATTATTTAGATTTAGAGCTGAAATTTGGAATATCAGAAGATTTATTACTTCTCCACCAACCTCCTCTTACACAAACCCTTATGATCTGTTCTAAATACCCAAGAGATTAAAATCCTTGTTCTAATATTGAAATACAAGAAATGGTGAATCTTAACTTGATACCTTGTTTGCAATTACAAGTATAGTTTATCCTTCTTAAAGGAAATATATTTTCTTAAGAAACTTCAACTTATCTAAATTTAAAAATCATTGTAATGTTTCTGACTTTTCCATTAAAACTTCAACAGACATGCATTCTATTCACATTTATCTATTCTTATCCATGAAAGATGATCTTAAAATTGTTGGCTTGGCTTGGCTTGGCTTTGGAAACCTATGTGGCTGCTTTTATATGTATTAGATACCTACATCAGTAAATGGTTATATTTGATATGCTAGGCATTTATGTTCATTCATAGTTAAATAATATATGTCAGGTAAATTCTCTGAGAACCAAGTTCTTATTAACAAATTTGGTGTGAATATATTGGTATACCTAAGAGAAGGATCAGTTCCCATGCTAAACAGTGTGTTTGCTAGACAAATCAGCTTCAAGATGAATTCCCTGTAGTGCCCAACTCCCAACCATATTTCTGTCCTTAGTTTCTTACTGCGTACAAAAATCTGGAATTGCATGTGTCTGGATATGGAAGGATTTGAGGATGTAACCAGTCTTCATATCTATGACCATTACCAGTAGATGAGGAAGAAAAGCTTGCCCAAGGGAAGAGCTGTTCTTCAAGATCCCCCATGTTTTGGGCCCTTCATTAAGGAGTAGTAGAGATACTGGCTAAATCACAGATTTATAGGGTGAGGGCAGGGCTTAAATGAGCTGAGACATAACAACCTATCTCTGAGTCTAGAGGGAGTACCTTTCCAGTACATAGTAGAGAAGGAATTCCTCTTATGCAAAATTACTTCTGTCATATTCACTCTCAAAGAAGTATCTGATAACGTAGTGCGTGTAGAACACATCTTTATTCATTAATGGAAGAACTGTAATTAAGCTTCATCCATTCAGGTAGAATTGGAATGTAGTCCAGTCTTTTATTCTTATCCTTTGCTCTCTCATCTCTGCTAGAAATATTTTGTCTCTTATGATATTGTAATATGTCGTGCATTGTCATTTAATTTTATAGTTCTCTTATTGTGCATATTTATGTATTTCAGCGGGAGAACCGAAGTCCAGTCAGTGCAGTATGGCAAAGAAAAGGCAAATAAAGACAGGGTATTTGCAAGGTAAGCCACTTCTATTTCAGTGTCTTAATTTTTCTTTAAAAAAAAAAAAAAGATTAAAATTATTAAAAACTCTTTTTCTAAATAAGATAACAGAGTTATCCCATGAGCCTTTCTTTAATTAAACAACAAATTAGGTTGAAGGAATAGTGAAGTAGCTTGTCTAGTTTATTCCTTTTTTTAACATAAGCTAAATTAACCCTGTGCTCTGACTAGACAGTTGAGTATTATATTATTAATATAACATTTTGTTGAAATGTTCATTTCCCTTTTTTAAAACTTTTTTGAGAAACTGATTCATTTTATTATTCAGTCCATTTTTATATTTTTTAAAATCATATTGTTAAGAAATAACTTGCTTTTTAGTTGGGTGCCATTTAGTTATCTTCACTTTTTTAGGATATGTTAATAGCCAATTGCTTTTAATGAGTGAAATAACATTATTAGATTTATGTTTTAGAAAATAGTTTTATGAGCAAGGATAGGGAATGGATCAAAATAAAGACTGGGTATTCAGAGACCATTAGAAGGTTATTGATGAAAGCCTGACCTAAAACATTGGCAATAAAATGGATACTAGGGAGCAAATTTGGAGAATGTTTTTTAGGTCGGGCTAGCAGTTGTTGACCAATTGGATAAAGATGTGTTAGAGACAGTAGTATCTGGAAAGACTATCAGATTTGAGTGACATGCACTGGACAGGCAATTTGGGAGGAAGAACAAATTTGTAATGGAAAAAGGAGTAAAATTAGCACAGGTCTAGTTTGAGATGCCTAAGCAGCACTCGTAACAGGATTATCCAATAAATGATTAAATATTCAGAGGCAGAGCTGTGAAAGAGGGAGAGTGACCAAATCAGTGGCTGCAAATATTTTTTGAAGACCTACTCTGCTGAGCATTGTTTCAGGCCCTGGGAATACAGTGAAGAACAAGATGTACACCTTACTCCTATGGAGTTTAAATTCTGATTGGTGCAACAGATATCTAATATAAGTAAATGATTGAGCTAATACAAGGCCATGGAACTGAAGCCTATTTATGTTTCAGGAAGAGCAGGCCAATAATGCACCAGAATGAGGAAGGCAATGATAGAAGAGATAGAGAGGTAGGCAGCCTCCAGAACTTGTATGACCCTATGCTAGAAATTCAGGGACTTTAGATTTTAAGTGGAAGCCAATGGAGGCTGAGAGCATGGAAGGTATATAAATTGACTTGTATTTTTTAAATTCTGGCAGAATGGTACACTGAAGTATTTACAAATAGTATATGATATCTAGAATTTGCTTCAAAAGAAATGGGGTGAGAGGGTTAGAGTAGGTGCTAGAGATGAAACAAGATTGAGCATGATGATAATTATCGAAACTGGGTCCTGAATACACAGGGTTTATTAATGTATTCTCTCTACTTATGTCTGTGTTTTAAACGTACCATAATACAAATATGGGGGTTGTAGGTAAATCATTCTGGCTGCTGTGATAGAATCAACTATATGGGGATGTAAGTAGAGATTGACCAGTGAATCTAATAGTGGCTAACTTACATTTTATGCTTATCTGTGCCAGGTGATTTTCGTATATTAACTCACAGTCCCCATAACTCAATGAGATAAATTCCATTACAGATGGGAAAACAGCAGAGCAAGTTTGAATAAGAGATGTAGCCCAAATTTTAACCCAGGCATTTCAAGCTCTTACCCGTACTTTTAACCTCTACAGAATAGTGAGTGCCTGACTACTTCTTGTCTCAGAGATATGAGAGATGATCTTATTTATTGTCTGTCTCCCCCACTAGAATGTCAGCTCTATGAAGGCAGGACTTTTGTTTGTTTTATTCACTGCAGTAGCCTCAACTCATATAATAATATGTGAGATATGTAGATTTTTTTTTTTTTAAGCGAAGCAGTGTGTTTTCAATGAAAATGGCTTAGAATTAATCCCTTAAAGAGTTCAGTCTATTGCCATTGGAGCCCTGAGAATTCTAATAAATGAGACCTAGCAAATTTTACTTTTGATTTTACTTTACTTTAGCTTAGTCTTTACTCGTAAGACATTCCTTTGTGTTTCTGGAATGAAAGGAATTTTTGTTTTTCTCTTTCTTCCCTCCAAAGTATAAATTACTCTATTGCTTTTTCTACTCGTATAAGTGGTAGTTTATTATTTTCTTAAAACCCAAGCAATGCCAAGTAACATAAAGAAAAGTTCTGACCCCCAATGCAGTCATTTAAAATTTTTTTTGTATTTACTAGTTAAGATTTTACCATGCATATACTCACAGAAATATTTATATGTATGTTTGTATTTTATTTGTTTTAAAAATTGTTGTATACTTTTTGTTGCTTGTTTTTATCACTTAATCTATCATAGACATTTTCTTTGATGTTGAAAAATCTAGTCATTTATAATGTCAGCAAATCTTTAAACAGTGAAATCTTTTAATCCTAAACTATAGATAGAACTTTATGATTCTTCCCTTTACCCTGCCACTTCCATGCCTCTGGAATCATAGTCATTGCTAAGACCTTCTGAGGCTGTGCCAGTACTATGCCCTGAATGCTTATAAAAATAAAAATAATGATATAAGTTCCTTAGAGAAAGGATATTTGAAACAAACAAACAAAAAAAATCATTAAAATATGATTTGTATTGGTTTGAATAATAAAATTTACTTGCATTTTTTCCCCTTCATTCCTGGCTTACCCTCATTCTTATTTGTTTATGAATAATCTACCCAACAGGAAAACCATCGATGAAAATGCCTGAATATAGGAAGGATTTAGCTGGTCAGGACTATAGCATTCTACTGTGATAAGTTACTTGAATTTGAATGATGTAATTCATTTCAGTATTTGTTCAAAAAGTTTTGAAGTTGATTTATTATTTATGTTTAGATTTGTGGGGGAAATATTCTCTATTAAATATATATCTTAGTGTTATATTAAGTGGCTTGGTTATTTCAGAAGGGAGAAAAAAAAGAAAGTAAGAACACAGAGATGCCTACCCTAATAGATATGGCTACTGAAATTATTCAAAATCCTCCCATTTCCAGTTAGATACCCTTGATTCCAGTTAGAAAGTACTAAGGACCTGTGAAAAGGTAAAATGTATAGTAAAATGTTAATTCAAAGTTGTTTTCCTTGAAATTGCTCTTAAGAGTTTACTTCCTATCAACTTTGTTGTTTTAATTTCAAATATACTTGTCCTAATCTTAGTACTATAACTTACTTGCAACACTCTTTTCAGACTTTTTAAAATCAAAATAAATATTTTCTAATTTTTTTCTGTTAAAACTGCACCACAACAAAATACTTAATACTTGTTTCTTTTTCTAACAAGAAGTTTAACATTGCTTTCTTGCTTGATATTTATAAAAATACTGAAAATGAACATGATCTGATAACTAGATCTTCTGTAGTATGATGTCCTAATATGAATGTCCTAATATGAATACCATTTATATATTAGTGTTAATATCACATGCAAATGACTTTCTTATAAGTGTTAATGTTTCCATATTTTTACCATAACAGATTTTGAGAACTACAAAGATAGTTATACCTGCATCTTAGTTCTTCATTTTTTTTATATGCATTATTAAAATGTGAAATTGTTTAACAGGTGATTTTATAAAACAAATATGCATTATTCAATGAATAGTAGAGCTAAAATTCCAATATGATAAACTTCAAATAACTGTTATTTTGTTATGCCGGAATTGTATGAATCCTCCTTGAAATAATAAGTCATCACCTGGGATGAGGTTTTAATAGTACTGTTTTAATGATCCTACTAACTCTGAAAGATTGAGTTTTTGTAGGGTGGTTTTTACAGTATATCAGAATATCATTGTGATAACCTGATGCATATCTACTAAAATACTCTAATAGTTTTACCAATTATTAAATTAACTTATTCTGTTTGAGTATTAGAGAATTCTAGAGTTCTTGTTCACTCATGGAAATTTAGTTAGCAGTATAAATAGAAAAGATTTCTTAAACTTTTTATGTAAGGGTGTTTTTTTCCTAGCAATAATAAATAAGTTAATTTATTTTCTTATGTATCAACTCTTTGAATTACTTTCACACTTTTCAGTTGTCATATAATATCTCGTAAGAAAGCAAAAGAATGTTCCCATGCAACAGAAAAATAAGGTGCCATGGTCAGAAAATAAATTTACCACATTGCAAACACACTGATGAAGTGTGGTATTTTTTTCTCTGAAATTTCCACACTCAACAGGAAACATAGACAGCAAGCTTGAGTGGGTGGGTCTCTGAGGTTAAAACTGTTAATAAAATACCTGAAATTTAGTTTTAAATGCAAAGCAGTTCCAACCATGTTTAGTTTATTAACAACAGTAAAGTGTTCTGACGCTTTGTGCTAGGTGAGTATAACTGGATATTTTCTTCCTTCATATGACTTTTTTCCTCTATTAGAAAATGAAAGTTCTCGATCTCCTGACTGCGGTTAGTGAACTCTCTTACAGCTTACATTTAGTAGTCTAATATATGAGAAAGAATAGTTTAGTAGTCTAATATATGAGAAAGAATACTTTCTCATATATTAGTAGTCTAATATATGAGAAAGAATAGCATTAAGATAACTCATTAATAAAAGAGCTGTAAATCCTAAGGTTTCTTTTAATAATCTTTATTTTAAAAATCTAATACATGAGATAATGTACTTTATTTTCATTTTATTGTGACCAATAGGAATATTTGGAATGCAGTATGTGTCCTGAGTTGTCTTCAAGTCAGAAAATCCTATAATTTAAACTTGGGTAATGGGAAATGCTCATGCTTAAATAACTTTAAATTCACTTATGAAAAATGAAATCTGAGTCAAATCTTTTTTTATTCGATAGCATCACATCTCAGAAAATGTTAAATGTTCTTAAGTTAAGGAGATGTTATTAGGATAGATTAAAAAGATTTTGGCTATGAATACATGAACTAATAGGTACTTAAGAGTGGTTTGGATTTATAAGTAATTTAAGTTACTTGTGGTTTACTAAAATTAATAGACTAAAACATTGCACCGAAAACTTAGATACTTGTATATCATAAAATTCAAGAGGTAAGGAAGAAACTTAAGATCACATTGTACTAGTAAATTTAGATATTGAGATGTAGAAACCTAATTTGTCTAATGGAAGGTCGAAACTAGGATTTAGGGTCTCTACCCATAATGATTTTAATGCTTCCTAGTATGCACATAAATTTTATTGAGTACTCTTGGTAATTGTTATCATGCTCTTTAGTCCAGTATATTTCTGTGTGCTTCAGTGAATTTATTACTGAAATATAAAACCGTCAGTTTACAAGTTGATATATTGTTTTTATATAAGTAGCTTAATTCATATTAGACTCCATATTAACTGCATCTCAAAGGCTTTAGTTTACCTAAAATTCTAAGGGTTTTTAATCTCTACAAAGAGTAGTGTCTTTCCTGAAAAGATCACTTAGTTCTCATCTTTATCACTATGGTCCCTGACAATATAGATAGTTAATAAAACATATTCTTCTATTCCCTACCCTGAGATAGAATAGTTAACTTCCAAATGTTTGGGGTTTTTTTTTTTTTTTTTTTAAGAAAAGAAAGAAATCCACTGGCCTATTACATGTAAAAAGAAAAAATTATCATTTTTGCCCTGTCTTCATTGAGGCAGAAGACCAGAGTTTAGATTCAAGGACATTCAGGAGATAATATGCTAAGAATTGTTTGATACATTTCAAAATAAGTTAGACTTTCAGAGACTCTGGAATGGAAATAGGCAATCTCTATAATATTGATAATATCTGAGAAAAATTTTGGTAGCCATCTATTCTCTTGCTTTTTTTTGTTTGTCTTCCTTTTTCTTGTTTCCTCTCCCTTTCTCTTCTTCCCTATTCTCTTTCCTACTTTTCCTAGTTTATCTTTTCTTCCTTCTCAATATAAAGCAGATTTACTTTCTTAGGAAATAATTTGGTAAATAGCCTCCAAATATATTCATTTCTTATAAGTAAACTGTTTATGTATACTCATCTAGGATATGATCTATTAATACAGATTCCAAGATTTGGTTCATACTTTAGGTTATAAAATTAAAAATTTTTTATATCTTAAATTATTTCTACAGATCCCCAAGTAAGCCCTTGGCACGGAAATTAATGGATTGGGAAGTAGTAAGCAGAAATTCAATATCTGATGACAGGTTAGAAACACAAAGCCTTCCATCACGATCTCCACCTGGAACTCCTAATCAGTAAGTACAGACTAACATCAGGTGTACATTTTGCTCATTTCTAAATTATTGGATATCTCCATTGCCTGAAGATCAAAATATGTAAATCTTTATATTTAAATTTTTTGATCAGACATGATTTTTGTTGCTCCAGAGCAAATTTTTCCTCTTAGCCCTCTTAGCCTACAGCTCGTTGCGTAAGTGGCATGGAATATCCTTGGCAAGGAAGTTAGTAGAGCATTCAACAAGGATGCTCACTTTTTTACGTAGTTGACTTTCATAGTAAGGCTCCCTAGCTAATAAATCAAGATCAATTAGTAAACTTAAAATCTGGGAGTATTGTTGTTGTGCACTTTTCCATGTGCCTCTCCAACAGAATTTCTAGGGGAGTATGTTGTTTGAAAATGCTAAGTAATTAGGATTCTCTTACTTAAGCTCCTACCCGAACCACTTCTCTGCCACTTTCTATGGTCTGCAAAAAGGGATCTCCAACATTAGTTCCCACAAGCTTAGCCATAGCTATATTGGTAAGTACTCTGTTATTCAGCACTTACTGTTTCTATACTTTATTCTAGCATTTCTCACAAAAGCTGTATGCTTTGGTATAGATAATAATAATAAACTAATAAACTTGTACTAGCCAAAGATGTTGTCTTAATTTTATAATGTTAACAAATCTGTTGTAATATATATATGTAATTAAGGTAATAATAAAAAAATGTATGTCAGCATATTGATAGACCTTGTTAACCCATAAGGTTGATATACAAAATACTTGATTTTTGGTATGGAATATAATATTTGAAGAAGTCTTTCTTTAGAAATATTTTATACACATTAATATCAATAAGTGTGCACAAGATTCCAAAAGTTGTGTCACTGATGGATGTTTGTCAGCCAAAGAATAAACTTCTACCATATTGCAAGTAAAGTATGTGCATAAACAGTTTGGTTCAGAGAATATTACCTAACATGTAGATGTCTTCCTTACTACTAGAAAAAATGGACTCATAAGTTTCTCTTTTAATAATTGCAGGTTGCTAAATCATCTCTTTTTAAAAAAGACTACCTGTATTCAAAGGTTAATTAACTTGAGTGAAGAAAATCCAGAAACTTTTTCTGGTCCCTTTTCCAGTCAGCTATTTCTCCATTTGTTACCAAGAACAAGAAATTTAAACCAAGTGATTTAATTAATTAATTGGCAGTAGTTCTGATTAAATTTCTGGTAAATGAAGCAATTTTAGGTATGATCTGAAAAAAATTTTTTCTAAATTCTAAAACGACAGTACGCGTAGTGGTTAAGAGTGTGGGCCTTGGAGTCACTATATGTTGGAACTTTAAGTTAATTAATCTTTGTCCCATTTTCCTCATCTACAAAATTATACTTACAATAATGGTGTCTTTCTTGTAATATTGTTGAAGATTAAATGATGTTATATATGTAAAATGCTTAGAACAATGCCTGGCACATAATAAGTGCTCAAATGTTAGCTATCGTAATTAATAAAAGTAATGACAATAATGATTCATGTGACTATGTCACTTATGAGAATGGAACTATATTATGCAGTATCTATTCTCAGGAATTAAAGCCCCATAAATAAAAGCATTTATAAGGATTAAAAAATAATTCAGACCAGGAAGATATTTCTGAATCATTCATTCTATTATTTTTAAAATACTGATTAAAACAAAAGTTGTAGTGACTAAAATCTAGAAACATTAAGGTTGCTAGAGATAATAGATGACTGAATAAGTAAAATCCTTGTGGTGGCAGGTGGTTGAATATAGCTTATTATATCTTCGACTTCCTCTTCTGTGTTCTCTCTGTTTACATCACACTATTTTTGTCAGAGACTCCACTTAGTCAATGTGGTTAGTTTTAAAAACATACACCCACTTTCTAATGCAATTATATAATTAAAAAGCTTGAAAAAAATTGAATTAAAGCACATTTTTACTCAGTTTTCTTCCTCTTTATGCAGTCGAAATTCTGCATTCACACAAGAGGGATCCCGGTTACGACCATCTTCAGTTGGTCATTTGGTAGACCATGTGGTTCACACTTCCCCAAGTGAAGTATTCGTGAATCACAGATCACCATCTTCAACGCAAGCTAATAGCATCGTTCTGGAATCATCACCGTAAGACATTTTTCCATTTAGTTTCCTCCTTATAAATAATAATGCCCCAAATTGTTTCATTTGAAATAATCTAGAAAGTAATCAAGATTTTATTTTTGCAGTGTTTTAAATATTTATATATTTATAAACGTGCTTATTTATCCCTGAGAGTTCTTGGTGCTCCCTGCCAGATACGTGCATGCCATCAAAAGAAATCACTGTTCTTCTTTCATTGACTCAGATTGTTCTTGAACTTTTAGTGCATATACTTAAATGTGTCTGCAGATAATACGGCACTGTGGTCAGGTAGTAAGGTAGTGAAAGGTAGAGTTTTTAAAATATTTTTCAGGAAGGGACCCATCATAACGAATAGACAGTGTTGGAAAAATTAACTGGCAAAGAACTAAGTAAGATGACAATCACATTGAAAATAAGTTATAGAAAGCATGCACACATTTCTAAAATTCATTTCTATCTCATATGCTGATATATAAGTTCAGCTTCATGATTCAGTGTTTGTATCTCATTAGTTTAATACACAACATGTTTACCCTCATTACTATGCAGTATCTTGATTTATTGGTTTATATAATGCAGTTCATATGGAAGTGAAAATACGTGCAAGAATTAGGAAAAAGTAAAATACTCTATAAGATACATAGATAAGTAAGAAGATTCAGTAATTGTTGAGAAGGAGAAAGGGGTGTAAGATATAGTAAATGCCATAATGGTTAAAGAAAGGATGGGTCTGAGAGTGATGAATGGAAGAGTAGATAGAGTGATCAGCAAAGTGGTTAGTTACTGGTGCTCCAGAAAAATGTAACTAGATCTATAAGAGGCATACTGAACACAGTATTTTCTATCCACGGTTGGGAATCTGCAGATGTGGAGGACCGACTGTATGCATTGCTCCTATTCTATTTTATGTAAGGGACTTGAGCATCTGTGGGTTTGGGTATCCACAGCAAGGCCTGGAATCAATCCCTGGAAGATACTGAGGGACAGCTGAAGTTTTAGGGGAGTCAAAAATCATACATGGATTTTCAACTGTGTAGGGGTCAGTGCCCTAACCCACCACATTCGTTGTTCATGAGTTGGCTTTATATTTCCATCTTCCCCTTTCTTTTTATTTAATATCCAAAAGTTAACACAGGTAGTAATTTATCCATAAAATTTTGAATGTTGTGTGTTTCAAGCCCTGGTTTCTAGCCCCCCCACCCCAC